CCCATTCTCCTTATGCCTACTCACTCTGAGCCTACCTGGATGCTCAACCCTGCCTTGAATTGCCTTGCTTTTTCGTGCTTTACCCTGGCCTGAGATTCTAGGATCATATTACTGCTGTCTTTCTATACCACTTAACGCAGACATAAAGCAATGTGTGCCAGTAGGGCTTAGTCAAGGAGGATAACCTTCTTCAAAGGGGATCCCAACACACTAAGTTATGACTACCTCTGATATCAGTGCAGTCCTTGCTTGGGGGAAGTCAGTATCAGGATGCCCGGCTTATAAGGGGTGAGGAGCCAAATGATGACAGTGCCCCACCTACCTTGACTCTTTCTGCTCTATTGTGAACTGTTTTACTCTTGGAATGAGAAAAAGGCAGATCCTTTGGAAGATGAAAGTGGGTGACATAGCAATTACTGTTCATGCAGGTGAGGAGGTTTCTTGAGCGAGTGAGTGGGCAGCACAGAGGGGAACATAGACTTAGGGCTTTATACTTCAAGATAGGTGACAGCAGGTGGGGAAGATGCTGCAGCAGTAGTGGTAGAGCATGAGCCTTGGTGGGAGGTGGGTCCACTAACAGAGATTAGGTGAGTGAGAGGTACAGGAGAGAAGATGGTGGCACTCATGCTGGCAGAATGGAGAAGGTCATTGATCTTCTTTCTACAGTGTTGGGCATTTCTCCAGACGCTAAGACTGCTTCAACATGTGTGGTAACCTCTGGTGTTGTGGCCACCACTGCCATTCTGAACTGACAGTACTTAACCAGGCTTTTTAAATATCACACCAGCGCCAGGGATGTAGGTCAGCTCCAGGACCTCCAGTGAGTAGCGATTTACTCCAGGAGTGTATGTGGTAAGATGGGGCAGAAATCAGATGTGATACTCACCATTAGGGTGGCAACTGCAATTAACGTGGTGAGTTTAGTCAGATATTGCAGAAAAATTTGCTCAGCAACACAGTGAGAAGAGTTTCACCAAATAAGACGCAATGTGCACTTAGCCAAAACCAGAAGGTAGCCCATACTTCTGTTTCATGCTGTAGGAGTGTACAATATATTTGCCAGATGTTCTCAGTTGGGGCTTCAACAGTTATAATATTAAAAAGTTACAAGATTTCTATCCAATTACCATATATTTCATGTCATAACAGGAGCTTTGACAGAACTAGTGGACAAATTTACTTACATACCCCAAATTTACATACAAACAATTGACTCACCAGCTGGTAAGCTGAATGGAGCTTCAAACTACATTTAAAAGACAATGAACAACCTTGTGGATTCAAAAATCCTAAAGGGTCAAATTTCCCTTATTCATCAGCTCATTAGGTGTAATCCTGCATGTACCATGTATAACATTGTAGTGTTACACAGTGCAATTCTTTTTCTTACCAAAAATAAAAACAGAGAATACACTGGATAGTGAAAGGAACAGAATAAGCAACTATTCCTCATTATAAAGAGGACTTGAATTCCATTTATCTTGGTACATGATCACTACGTGAGAAGCTAAAGCCAATGAATTAAGACAGGAAGACCCTGACACACAAAGACTGAGTAACCAATCTTGGGAAATCTGCTGCTGCCTTTGTCCTCACAAAATGTAGTCTCCTATATCAGACAAGATCTGGCCAAGGGGCAGAGATTTACCAGGTTTGAAGTTTCCCCATCTTAGCCCAGGTAGCTAGGAAACAGTGGAAAGCAGAAATACTGTGCTCCTGATTTGTTTCTTGGCCTGGAATGTCAAATAAATATTCCTGTTGAAAAGTAGTGTACAGTGAATGCCAGATTTCTGAAACAAAAACAGAAGCAACGTTGTCTGACTATTAGGAAACAAACAGTAGTAGTCAATGGATACTTTTTGAGCTGAAGGAAGGTTTGTAGTGGAGCTCTCCAAGTGTTGATATTGGGACCCTTGCTTTTCCTGATATATATTAATGACATAGATTTTGGTGACTGGGGACAATTTTCAATGTTTGCATAGGACATTGAACTTGGAAGAATTGTAAACAGTGAGGAGGATAAGGTAGAATTACAAAAGGACATTGGCAATTTGGTGGAGTGGGCAGATAGGTGGCAAATGAAGTTCAATGCAGAGAAGTGTGAGGTGATGCACTTTGGTTGGAAGAACATTGAAAGATAATACAACATAGAGAGAACAATTCTGACCTGGGTGTACCTGTACAGAGATCATTGAAGGTGGCAGAAAAGGTGAAGAGATCAGCTAATAAAGCTTACAGTGTTTTCACCTTGATTAATATGGGCATACAGTACAAGAGTAAGGAGGTATTGTTGAACTTGTACAGTACACTTGTTAGTCTTCAGCTGGAGTATTGTGTACATTTATAGGTGCCACATTGTACAGAAGATTGGAGAGAGTGCAAAAGTAATTCACAACAATGTCTCCAAGAATGGGAAACTTCAGCTAGGTTAATAAATTGAAGAAGTTGGAACTGTCCTCCTTGGTGAGAAGAAGGCTGAGAGGAGATTTGATACAGCTTTCCAAAATCATGAGTGGGCTGGATAGAATAGATAGAGAGAAGCTGCTCCCGCTCATAAAAGAACAAAGAATGAGAGGGCATAAATTCGAAGTGATGGGCAAACAAACTTTTTCCCACAGCGGCTAGTTGGGTTATGGAATGCATTGCCTGGAACCATGCTGGAGGCAAATTAAATTGAGGCATTTAAGAAGGCATTGGATGATTATTCAGATAGAAATGGTGAGCAGAGATATAGCAAAAGGGCAGGAAATTGACACTAGCTAATAGAAGTGGGGCAAGTGCAATAGATCCAATAGCCACCTTCTGCACCATAACAATCTGTGAGAACAAAACAGAATTAATGTTTCAGATCAATGACCTTTGATCAGAATTGTTCTGATAAAGGATCATGAACTTGAAGCAGTAACTCTGATTGATTACCTTTGCAAGGACTCGCTGGAAATTGTCATTGGTTTGAGGTTGCTGAGGTACTCATCACAGCGCACGGCCGTACCAGCAGTCCAGCAGATGCTGTGACCAGAGTGACATAGGTTTATTATTTAAACAAGCGAACTCCCTCCAAACCTTGGTGCTGCCTTTGGATCAATGGTTGAGATTCCTGGCATTTACATCAGAATCAGTAGTTTTGAAGGCTCATATGAGGCAATTGTTTCATGGACCGAGTAACGAAAGAAGACTTCTGCCATGAGCAGACTTGACTCCATAAAACATCTAAGTGAGAAAAGCACAAAGGGCTGTTTCCCGACACTATGTTTTAAATGTGCTATGGTTTAAAACAAATTTGATAGCAACTTATATTAAAAAGTGATTGTTAATGTTGCTTCCTTCTTCTCCAAGAGTGCATTTGTCAGAGATGTTCCATGTTGAAATGGCTGAATTTGTGGTGACTAGGGAGAATAAGGCAATGACCTTGAGGAGAGGAATATGACGACCTGAACTGAAATTGTATCAATAGAAGGAACATTTAGTCCGGAAATACAATAAACTGCAGTAATGTGAGAAAGGTAAACAGAAAAGATATTAAACATTTACTTATAAACTATTGAGGAGACTGGTTGTACAGACTGTGGGGTGAAATTGGTTTAAAAAGAAATTAAATTGACCTGTTCAGACTTGTTATAGCGTATCTCCTGGTCAGGTGTGACTTGAACCCAGACCTGCTTGGTGCAAAGATAGGAACACTACCACTGTACCACTTGGTTCCCTGTGAAGTTAAGCCATGCTAGCCTCACAAAAATAGGCTCACAGTGATTCAACAGTCAATTTTTCAATGCGTCAGTTTTTATTTTACATTAACTTTGAAAATATCAGCAAGAATTTTAATTCTAATCAAAATGGAAGTGACAGTGAGATTGGGGACAAATCTTTGAAAACACTTGGAGCTATTGTTCTGCTCATTTCAGTTGAAAGATCAAACAGTTAAAATTTTGCTTCTTATTCATGACAAGCTGTTTCATGATCATGGCATAGATCTCCTAAGTGTGCTTTAGAATATCATGGTTCTGAGATAGTAAGCTGAGCTCGAGCTGCATAGATTTGAAAAGAGAAGATTGTTTCCAAGAATGCATCATTCCAGTAATTCCAAACTGAGCTTCGTTTGCTCATAGCTATCAGATCAAACATTCAACTATTTTCCTTAGATAAGACAAATATTTTTGTCACTGATTTTTAGAGCAACAAATAGTTGTTCTTCCAATATCTTTAAAATTTGCTCAAGCAAGGGAAAGTAATATTTATTCTTCTTCATTTACAGGATGTGGGCATCTCTAGCAAGGCCAGTATTTACTGCCCACCCCAAATGTCCAGGGGCAGTTAAATGTCAACCACATTTCTGTGGGTCTGGAGTCACATGTGGGCCAGACCAGGTAAGGATTGTGGTTTCCTTCTCTAAAGTGAATCTGATGTGTTTCTCCCCTGACAATTAACAACAGTTTGATGGCCATCATTAAACTCATAGTTCTAGTATTTTTTTAAAATTATTGAATTCAAATGTCAACATCTGCCATGGTAGGATTTGAACCAACATCCTCTGAACAGTACCTGGGTCTTTGGATTAATAATCGAACAATAATACCACTAGGCCACTGCTAGAGGCATCATTGTACATTGTCTAACAGTCAGAATAACTACTGGTTCTCATCTCAGATATTTCAAAGTGTTTTACAAAACAATGGATTTCATTGATTCATTGGGTTGTCCCTTCCTGAAATACACTCAATGTTTCGTGTATAAATACCATTTAACTCCTGACAGCCAGTAGCTGACAAAGGAGAATTGCAATTGATCTTTACCCAGCTTTGGATTTGAAATTATTCACGAAAACTGAAATGTTACAAATGTACAGCTTCTAAATCTACAAACTACCATCATGTTACTTTATAAATGTTTTTAATTAATTTGTTTGGACATGTTGTGGCATCCCTCTGTAGCCATCAAATTCTGAGGTGGTACTTGAGCAGAAGTAGAAATATTAGCACTGTGCTACAAGAAACATACTCAGAAAAAAAAGGTGGTGTTTCATGAATCAATATACCATCCTTGCACAGTAGCCATGCTAATTTTCTATGTACATTCCTTTTTTTTTTGTTTACGTGCTGCTGAAACAAACATTTTTCTTTTTAACGTTCTCAAGCAATCATCTAATCAATTCCCAACAACTCTATACTTAGATTCATACAGGATGAAAACAGACTCTTCATTCCAACCAGTCAATGTTGAACATAATCCCAAACTGGATTAGTCCCACCTGCCTGCTCCTGGCCCATATCCCTCCAAAGCCTTTTCTATTCATGTTCTTGTTCAAATGTCTTTTAAAATTCCTTAAACTTAATTTGGAAAACTAACAATTGCAAGGCATAATATGTGCCTATTAAGATCTCAAGAACAGCAAATGAATAGATGACTGACAAGATAATAATTATTGAGAAAAACATATGCATCACATTGGAAGAGATCCTGACAAAAACTAACTAAAACTAACATACTATATATGAATGTTGACACATTCAGGCCTATGCTTTGGAATAATTAATTCCTTTAGAAAACTGGCTCATGACTTCAGATAGAGGGAAATATAACTCTTGATGACTAAGACTGTCTGCTTCTATCACTGTAACACCACCTGACTCGACTGCTGCTAGAGTTTAGCTGCTGTCAAAACCTTTATCCATACATTTGATATCTAAAAGTTTGACTTTTCTAAAGGACACCTGGCTGAATTACAATCACCCAAATCTCCATAAACCTAAGCTTATCCAAAACTCTCTTGCTCGTAGGCCAACTCACAGCATGTACCACTCACCTACGATCAATGCATTCACTAACCTGCACAGACTCCTGGCTAAGCAACATCTTTAAATTCTTCATTTTGTTTTCAAATTCTCCCGTGATTTTGCACCACCCGATCTGTGTACCATGACCAGCTCCACAACATTCCAAAACAAAACTGCTCCAATTCTGTCCTCATGTCTATCCCCAGTTTTAATTTCTTCATGACTGGTGGCTGTGCTTTCAGCTGCCAAAAGCATAAGCTCTGGAATTCCTGTTCTAAACATCATAACCTCTCTTTAAGAGGCTCATTAAAGCCTACCTCATTGATCAAGCTTTTGGTTATCTGCCCTCATATCTCATCTTGGGCTCAATGTCAGATTTTGTTTGACAATGTTCATGAGAAGTGCCTTGGGATATTTTGGTATGTTAATGGTGTTATATAAATGTAAGTTGCTGTTCTGGTCATATAATCTCTTGATCCTAATCACAATTTCCATGGTTCAACAGCTTTCCTAATCTTTTGTGGAAGAAGACATTTGCTTTTATTTATGAAGTGTAGCAAATAGCGAAACATGGGGCAAGCAGCATTGGAAGAATCTGAGGAAAAACAGAAAACGAGAGCAATGTGAATTTTATATTCAGCTGGATCACTGAGTGAGAGGGGAGAAGGAGTGCAAAAGATCTATAATCTTTTCAGTGTTGACAGAGGTGGTAACATCCCCTTTTCTGTAACCCCTGCTGTTCAACAGGATCAACTTGTTCTATGTATGATGGCCAATTTTGGCTTTCTCTCACTTAAGCCATGAATTAAAGTTATCTTTTTATTTTCTGTTTTCTAGGCCACCTTCATTCTTCTTCAAAGAACAGCCATAGAGCTGAAATTTCTCATATTTTAGCCAAATGAAGCCCAGGTAACTTTTTTTCACGCATTCCTCTCCTGCCCACTTCATCAAGTGTGTATCCTGCCTCCACATTTACTGGTGTCATGCGATATTATGTTCAGCAGAGGTGAAGTGCTCACTGAGACTTTCCAGCATTCAAATAATGGTTGCCATATTAGACCTCATTGCACCATTCCACTCACTGTAGGCCTGGAACTGCTCACAGTGTCATCCTGTGCAATTCCATACAACACAGATGGAAAGGCAAGTTGGGAAAATCACTTTACAGACAGGGAGCTGGAGGTCAGGCTGGATTGGAGAGGAGGACTATCCTATATCCCCAGGATTGACAGAGAAAACTGTGGCACCAGACACTGTTAGTCTGGTCTGAAGTAGCCATCTAAGTCAATGCAGTGTCCATGCTCTGGAGGAACAAGCAATAGTGCCATGTGAAGATTATTGACCTTCTGCACTTCAGAGTAAGTATCACCATCTTCGCTCTGATACCTCATACCCACTCTAATTCTAGCCACTGCAACACCTCCCAACCAAGGTGCATGGTCTACCATACTCATGATTGCAATGCAGTATCTTTCCTCAATGGCTGTCACCACCAGCAAATCTACCAATCCTTTCTGCCTCTACACTTCCTACTTACTGGTGAAATCTCAGCACCCTTCCCGACTGAGGAAGGACAAGCCCCCTGTGTGAGAGCTACGCAGTTGCCTGACTTACCAGCAACACGTACTAACAGATTCAAGAACAGCTTCTTCCCTGCTGTTATCAGACTTCTAAATGGACCTCTTGAATTTTAAAATTAAATGTTGATCTCATTCATTATGCACTTTCTGTCTGGCCATTGCATTGTATCCTTTGCTCTGTTCTATTACCCTAATGCACTTGTATGGTATGATCTGCCTGCACTGCACACAATGGCAAACCTTTTCACTCTACCTAGGTACGTATGACAATAATAAATCAAATAAGAAAAGAAAATCAATCTTCAGACTGCAGGATGACTTCAGCTGAATCCCCAGAACAAGAGGACCCGGATTCTGTTTGCATCCAGTGCTCGACTTACCATGGCCAAAACCTCGCAACCCCCCGACATCATACATTGCCCTTGACTGACTATGTAAACACCCCATAATCCTCCTTGACTGGACTGAGGAATACTCCCTTTAGACTTTGTGACCTGGCTATTTGGCTCAAATACATGCAGTATGTTTGCTGTATGAGCTCTTGGCACATGTTGTGGATGTGACACTGAAGGAGCACATTGTCGTACAGCAATATTTCTGCCCTGTTGACAAGTCATTGCTGGCAAACATGACAAACTGCTTGGCTTTCTGCCTGGGCTAAAATGCAATGCAAGGCAGAACTGCTGTGAGCATCTAAGTATGTACAAAGGGAGTGAGCATTGAGAAAGCAATTTAAGGAACCCTGAATGCACCTTGTTCCAATGCATGACATGGGTGCCCATCTCTCCACACAAAGTGGCTTGGATGAAGCATTACAATGTAAGGTGTCAGTGCTGAAGTGTATGTATTACAAGTTAATTCAAGATGTGTCACAATGATGTGTTGAGGTTGGTGCTTTGCCAATGCCAAGATCTATGGACAAAGGATGGAGATAGTTGCTACCCATGGAGCATGTCTCAAGTTGTTGAGGAATGCTGGTCAGGATCTTGTCTGATTTTCAAATCGGGAAATGGTGCTGTTCTCTGGTACACTGGAGAATAGCAACTGAATTTAAGTGAGACAGGATGAGGTAATTATAAGGTATTAAGACAAGTAATTAGGGCCCTCACCACTTACTAGTGAGTTTCTTTTCTAGCCATTGAAACGTTATGGAGAAAATTGGACATTTTTCTGTGATATCAATAGTCTAATTTTTCCATTCTCACTATATTCTATGAATGTCTTGCTATTGCCCTTGTTGTTCATATGCTGGGAAAATTCTGTCCATAGCTTTTCCAGGTCAGGCCTGGAAGCTAATTGCAGATTGATTCTTGATTAACAGGTTCTACAGATGCTTCGACAAAGGAGGAGAGTGTTATGTTTAAACAGATAGCAGAGACCAGTGCCTGAGAATTGGTTCCAGCAAGTCTGGGAGAGACATTATGCTCCAGCAGATAGTAAATGTTGAATGGTAACTGGGACCATCTAAAGAGATGGTCAGTCTGACAGAGAGAGGCCAGAGTTTTGAACTGCGTTTTGGACGTTTTTTTTCTGGGAGGAGGAGTTTGGGTGTTGGTGATACAGCATGAAGATTTGAGAGCTTCCTCTTTAACATCCTTTTATCAGTTATTGATGTTCAGAGAATAGAAACTAAGTTGTAAGTGTTACTGCCTCTCTCTGAATGAATTGAAAAGGTGACCCTGATTAAAATCTTTAGAAAAGCAAGCAAGAAACAATGATCTATGCTTGTGGAATGATACATCGTGAAAACCTCAAGTAATCTGGCTAGTTCTGTTCTTTTATTTTAATATAATCATTAACTATTTTGTGTTAATAGGGCTGAAAATAAAGGTTCTTGGGTCTAAACATGGACATCAGTTAGATTTCTTTGTTCTTTAATTTTGCTCTGCTGAAGTTACTGTATTGTTAATAAATTGTTAACTCTTTTGTTTAAACTGTAAACCATTATTGAGAATTAATTATTCACATAGTCTGGCATTATTTATTGAAGAGTCTGGTTAGGAACTATTGGGGTCAAATTTGAGGATCTTTGAAGATTTTAATTTTAGTATGTTGTGAACGCAGAGATAGAAGGGCTCATTCAGCTGTCTGTCTCCATGTTGTCATAGTGTTATGACCCCCAGTTGATATGTACCTTTAAAAGAAATGCTCATGATATCATCACTTTACCACAGCACATAACTTGAGGGCATAAAGATCTCAGAGTCTATCCTAAATTGGGCAACTAGAAGCATGATATATTGATGAAAGCAAATAGCTTATTGTTAGTTGAGACACAAATGTGCTAGTGAATGTAATATTTGCATACATTGGTGAAGCACAATAAATAAAATAATGTGTAATAATATGAAACAAAGAACTGCGGATTCAGGAGATCTGAAACAAAAACGAAATTGCTGGCGAAAATCAGCAGGTCTGGCAGCATCTGTGGGGAAAAAAGCAGAGTTAACACTTCAAGTCTGGTGACTCTTCATCAGAACATTGGAACACAGGACTCGAAACATTAATCCTGCTTTCTTCCCACAATGCTGCCAGATCTGTTGAGTTTCACCAGCAGTTTCTATTTTTGTAATAAACATCCGTTTGTTCTTTCAATACTGCAGTTACCCATGACACAGTTTCTTATGTTATGAGAGAAAACATCACCACTGCCATATCAGTTACCCTGCTGGGGGTAAAATGCACATCAACCTCTTTCACACAGAATAGAATAATAGAATCCCTACAGAGTCAACGCAGGCCATTTGGCCCATCAA